GTCTCAGTAGATGAGCTGAATTTAGGTGGTGATGATGACTTTGTCTTACACATACTAGACTTCTCATTCTTCCAGCAGTGTGCTCCTGTTGTACTTCAACAGAGCTTGTATGCTATAGAACCCCCCCCCCCCACACACACACACACATTTTCTCAATTCTTTTAGATTTTAGGTGTTTAGATGTGCCTTGACTATTTACAGGCAGGAGTATAATTCAATGCTTTTGTCCCCCTGTCACCAAACTGCTGTTTGTTAGTCAGTGTTCTGCTAGTTCAAGCCAGGCTAGCCTTGGAGCTGTAGTTGTTCCTTCCTGAGATGTAGCAGACCCCTCTTTATGCTATCATGTCAGTTCTTAGGGAGCAGGGCAGCAGCTTATGCCTCTCCCAGAGGAAAAGGATTTTGCTTGTGCTTTTTCCCTATATTATCAGTAGATTTTTGCCTGTATCCTGGTAAAGGGTTTCCTGTCTCTCTGTAGAAGCAAAAATGTTTTATTTCCATTCTTCCCCCAGAAGTAATGAAGCCTTACCTGAGTCTTATGGAGGAGAGATTTTGTTTGCCATCACCTCAGACTTACATATTTGTGCTTTGTTAAAAATCTATGAAGGGAAAACAAAACAAAACAAAACAAAAACCCATATATGGAAGGGTGGCAGTGGCGCACACCTTTAATCCCAACACTCGGGAAGCAGAAGCAGGAGGATCTCTGTGTGTTCGAGGCCAGCCTGGTCTACATTGTAGGTTCCAAGACAGCCAGGGCTACACAGAGAGAGACTGTCTCAAAAAATGAGAGGAAAAAAAAAAAAACAATGTGAAGGTTGGTAGGCTTAGTAGGTGGTCTATTCCTCACCATTCTGCTCCTGACGTTCACTTCTTTCTTCTGTATTACTATGGAGACCTACTCTTCTGGATGAATTACCCTACTCCAGTCTTTCTAATGAGCACATGATAAATGCTTATGGAGAAAAGGTTGAGAGTGAGTATAACTCTGGGGCTATTGTTACTATAAACTGACTCACTAGCCCCAAACCTTGGTTTTTTAAAAGTTTAGTAAGTTTCAGCTGGGTGTGGTGGCTCACATCTTTAATCCCAGTAGTCTCATTAGGTGCCTTATGATGTGAGATCTGATACAGTTCCAAAATAATTGACTTTAAAAAAAAAAAAGTGTTTTGCCATTGTTAGAGATGTATTCTTTATAGTTGCTTGCATTCTAAGCAGAAGTAGAAGTATCATTTTTAGATTGTAAATTTAGTTTGGTAATGAGATGGGCTTCAAAATAAAGTCTGTATACATCTCTTGATAAAAATGTATACAGTACATTTTTGAGAGAATATTTTGAGATATTCTCTATACATAAACTTTGGAGAGGAAAGTTCTACTGTATTCATTCTTAGACTAAAGGCTCTTTAAAATTTTTTTTCTTTTCTTTGAGAACTTGATAATGTATTTTGGTCATATTCATCCCAATCCTCTTCTGTTTCCCCAATCACCCAGCCTTACCCTCTCCCCTTAATTAAAAAGCCCTTAATTAAAAAGCCAGTTGATTCCAGTTTGAGTTGTCTGACTATTCTTGGACATGGAATCTGTCTTACAGTGTGGTCCATATACCAGGTGTCCCTCCATTTAAGAGTACTGACTTTCCCTTCTCCTCACAGCAATGAAATGCCAACAGCTCCTTAGTTCAGAGTGGGACTTCGTGCTGAGCTCTTCTCCTTGTGGGTCTTTGTCCAGTTTGAGCTTGTGTAGGTCCTGTGTGTGCTGTCAGAATCTCCTCCTCTGTGCTGCGTCTCTCCTGTCGGGTCTGGAGAACACCATCTCCCTAAGTCATTCACCACCTCTGGACAGTCTTTTTGTCCCTTTTCTGCATAGAGTCCTCAAGTCTTGAGGGAAGGAATATGACATGAATACTCCAGTTAGGGCTAAGCACTCTGAATAGACTTCAGAACTTTAAATTAAAAATAGACATTATGCCAAAAATACAACCTCCAAAGATACCATTTTAAGTAGTGGCTAAATGCAGGTGGAGCCCCTCTCTATCAAAAATTTGGCCATTTGAGGATAAACAGGTAACAAAAGTTATTTGGGAATGGATTTTGGAGCATTTAATTGGAAAAAGGGAGGCTTTGTGATATTTTCTGTTAAGAATCATTGTCTAGTCCATTTATTCATGAATAGATGATTTCACAAACACTCCACTTCTTCAAAGGTATTTTTTTGTCACCTAAGTTGGTGGTTCTTTTCTGCTATATTGAGGAATTTAGATCTTTTCTTTGCCTTCTGTACCCAGCATAGTGTGCTCTCCTCCTCGCTCTCGCTCTCCTCCTCGCTCTCGCTCTCCTCCTCGCTCTCGCTCTCGCTCTCCTCCTCGCTCTCGCTCTCCTCCTCGCTCTCGCTCTCGCTCTCTGATTTTTCGAGACAGGGTTTCTCTGTGTATCTTTGCGCCTTTCCTGGAACTCACTCTGTAGCCCAGGCTGGCCTCCAACTCACAGAGATCCGCCTGCCTCTGCCTCCCAAATGCTGGGATTAAAGGCATGCACCACCACCGCCCGGCTGCATAATTTTATCTTATTAATTTTATTCTTTGACACTTTAATGTATCCTGATCTGTCCATCCTAAACTCCCTCCTCCTCCAAGACCTCTTTCTTCCTTCATGTCCTTGTTCTCCTGTTTTAATAACCCACTGACCCAGTATCTTTTCATGTAGTTTTCCTATTACAAATAGAACCTTGTTTCTATATGCCTTTGTAATGGAGCAGTGGAATTGGTTTATGTTTCAGAGAATCGATTGTTCTGTTTTTTCCAATTTTATCACTGTGTATTACAGAGCAAGGGATTTCATTATGATACTTCTGTCCATACATATGTATTCTCTTCATATTCACCACCTCTGTTACTGTTTCTCATTTTTATCCTCTTTCAAAAAAATGTCTCTGAAGGGCTTTGTGTGTCTGTGAGATGGCTCAGTGGGTAAAGGCACTTAACCACCAAGCTTGTTGACCTGACTTCCATCTCTGGGATGATGGCAAAAGAGAGCTGATTTCTACAAGTTGTCCTCTGACCTCCACATATGCATACTCATGTGTGCATACATAAGTTAAATAAATAAAACATAAATGTGATTTACACAGGAATGTCTTGTGTACTTTTCCCAATAAGAAAGGAACAATAAGTCACCAGATACAATCTTTTTTTTTTCTCAGGGTTTCTCTGTGTAGTTTTGGTGCCTGTCCTAGATCTTGCTCTGTAGCCCAGGCTGGCTTCAAACTCCCAGAGATCCGCCTGGCTCTGCCTGGCTCTGCCTTGAGTGCTGGGATTAAAGGCATGTGCCACCAACACCCAGGTTCAGATACATTCTTTTTTTTTTTTTTTTTGGTTTTTC